GTCCACTGTGTAAATGTATCTCCCTCCCCCTCTTCTGTGTCAGTTTGACGAAGTGGTCCCTGTCCACTGTGTAAATGTATCTCCCTCCCCCTCTTCTGTGTCAGTTTGACGAAGTGGTCCCTGTCCACTGTGTAAATGTATCTCCCTCCCCCTCTTCTGTGTCAGTTTGACAAAGTGGTCCTCGTCCACTGTGTAAATGTATCTCCCTCCCCCTCTTCTGTATCAGTTTGACGAAGTGGTCCCCGTCCACTGTGTAAATGTATCTTCCTCCCCCTCTTCTGTATCCGAGTGACTAAGTGAAGATGATTCAGCAGAAATCCTGATACTACACATTAGAACATACAATGGTGATTAGTGAGGAAGTATCAATACGAGGAGACACTGGTTGATCCTTGACTTGATTGTCAAGTACAGAAGGCTGTTCTAAGTGAACTAAGTATATTGGAAAACCATTAAAGCATCACTGAAAATGATTTCAATTTACAGAAGATCTTTTATCTGGTATTTCCAAGAATGTCCATTGGCAGTATGTGAACAGACCTGTAACAAGTAGACCACTGGGCCTTGGACCCACAAGTTTGATCACGACAGTTCCATCTCCACATGATGTTCTGTTTTTCTGAGTTATCCAGTTCAATAGTAAAGCACTCTGATATCCCCATAGTATACTTTATAGATATCTATTATTTCCCAGCCCTGAGATGACATTACGCTAGAAAGAGACTTATCATAATGTGTACATATAGCTTGGAAACATCGATACTATGAATGCAATGCCTCATCAATGTAAAATGTCAGTAGAGTTGTGCAGTTCAGACCATTGACTAAGCAATCTCCCTGCTGAATCCATTCCAGTATACATGTATGTCCGTGCTGTCAAACTGATGTAAGAATGGTATATGTAATTACCTGGTTGAGAGTAACTTAATCTTGGACCAAAAAAACACCTGTTAGTCCCCAGAATGTTTAAATGTTAGGTCTCAAGTAGGATGGTTATCATATAGGAACATAGCATACATGTGTATTTTTCTTTTGAATTCCACATGCTCTTGGCACTTAATTTCTTTTAACTCCAGGGATGTACAATTTCTTACGCTGAATACTAGTGTACAGCTAGTTTTTACAACTAACCATGCTATATTTTCCCAATAATTTCTCAATAAATGTTAAAATTTTCACCAGTCTAACATTTAAATTTACTAGCTCGGGCTAGTGTACACGCCTAAACTCTCAATTTGATATAGATCTATCTGCTATCTCCGTCATCAGATGAAAGCTTCAGACATCTCATTAAACTGCAATGTCAATATTTATGTATGGAAAATCAATGAGAAATTTAAATATTTATCGAACTATTTTTCAGATCCTTGAGGATAAAGTTGGCATCCTCAGATGTTAGGCTGACACCTGCATACATGGAAATTACCGTAATCAGAGACAACTGTGTGTTTTTTTCTGTTAAAACATCAATTCCTTCATCAAAAACATATTTTTAAAAAAAATTGAGGGCTGTTCCCATATCTGTGAGGAAAGGAACATTACCAGATCCCACTACACAAATTAAGAGTTTTCCCCAGTATGTGTGCCTTTATACTAGAACAAAGATAATATATGGATAGATTTTTTAAAAACTTACGCAGCTTCTGTAAAACGCTTCATAAAGCTAGGGCGATCTTGATTCCTCCTCATCCGAAACCATCTTTCCACTTTTCTTGTAGATAAATCTGTCTGTTTTGATAAACTCTGTAAATGGAAAACCAAACTATAAATATATAATCTCAACATAAGTAGAATGTCTACTGGTTATCTTTTTAACATACATAAAATAAAATCAGAAAATAGATTGATCAGCAAACTAAAGTTCCTAAAGTAGAGATCATTTTAACACTGATTGACAGAAAAGTCTGGTACAATGTGTAATATGTGAAAAATTAATAAATATATTATTTAATGCTATTATGCTTTAATACATCTTATTGACAAAATTATGGTTGCTGCAATATTTATAGCAATCTTTAATTTAATTGTTGCACAATAAATATCAATATTTATTTTTTACGATGGTCATATTTTGTTTATTCAATTAATGTGAAGTTTCAAACTTTAAGGCTAACTACTTGATTAATTCACCATCAAAATGTAATTGAAACCTTCAAAAGGCCACAGCACAACACAGCATATCTTTTTGTTTGTAGGTTAATTGGTCAACCAAATATATCCTGTTTTAGGCCTAACATTTCCAGTCTGCACAGTACCATCACAAGGGAAAGAAATTATTGATTAATGCAGAAATGACAATCAACAGTTAATGTTTTTATTATCCAAATCTCCTCCTGCTAACTTACTATGATTTATTCCGTGTAAAATGTAACCTGTCTATAAGGCACCAATTATAGACCAGAATTTTGGGTAAAAAAGGCAATATCATCTTCTTTAACAAGGAGGTAAATAACGCAGCATCAGCAACTCGTGGAGATTGTTACCACTTTCATTTCCAATAAATCTCAAAGTGTTGAGCAATTGTGTCGGTAAAATGTAGCATCAGGTCCATTATTCCGTCTTTGCGTATTGCAGAGTTATCTTCTCTTGTGAGCAGGTCTTGATTGTTACGTCATATGTTTGTGAGAGCAACGTCATCAATTTTTGAGGAAACGACGTAATTTTCTCACACAAACCAATGACGTAACAATCAATACCTGCTCACACGAGAAGATAACTCTGCAATACGCAAAGACGGTATATATGATGCAAATGCATGTAGTTACCAGTCACTGTAATTCCATTGCAAATAATAATTGTAAACAGGAAACTTTCACCCAGTCAAACCTTCGCCTTTCACTGGAAAAGTCTGCACTGGCCCGCTGTTTCATATGACCATTACAGAAACTTATTACTATAAAAGGTATGTTAGAGTTCAAATATTCACTCAAATGATAACGTTTGTCTCATTATGGATGGCGAAAAAAGAAGAGAGCTAAACTGCAGTGAACGTTTCTTTACATACCTTACCAAATAAATTACAATATTTACTAGGTTCCAAATGTAAACATCCAGTGATTTATTTCATTTTTTGTTTCCTTATCACACATTTATCAGGTTTTGCTGTATTTTTATATTTAAAATCATACCCAACCTCAGTACATACTCAAGAAATATGGTGCCTGCAGCTTGGACGTGGACTAACTATAGGAACAAGCCAGTTCTCGAGGGATATAGTTCTTATACAAATTTGAACTTATTGAAAACACAATTTCTAATTAAATATCAGAATAAACCATCAGATCTGCTTCAAATATATATATTTATCCACTTAATTTTATTATCTGTTCATTTATATATATGAATATGTTTGCATTTTTTTTGTGTGTATATTTGCATTCTTGGTATATTTTTAAACTGTGTTGAAATTTACTGCTAGATTTTTCCCAATTTCAGATTTAAAAAAAAAAAAGTTTGGAAGAATTTTTATTTTTATTGCTAATTGTTGTCTTTTCGGAAGACCTGATGTTTAACTTTTTCCCTCAAGAACTTGGGCTCATCAGTGCTAGTGGTAGAATGTTACAGATTAACAAAAAGTGGCAGGCAAGAAAATAAGTAAAACTACATCATACCATAAAAACAGCCTGAAACAAACCACCAATCAATTATTGCATATTAATGTATGCAAACCTATTGAAGGCTATATGCTGGCTATCTTACACATTTTACCTATGATTGTATTGTAATTCATTTATCCATGAGTATCAAATCTTATTACTTAACCCCTTTTCTCTTTATTTTAATCCACTGATCTCATTTTCCCCATTTATTTTTATGTAGCAAGGACTTAACTCATTTCATAATGAACTATTCCAACTTTTGAATTGGAAGAGTTCAAATGTGTCTTTAGGGTGAATGAGTTAACATCAGTAAAGATGAGGTACATTCCCTACTAGGGTCAATTTTATCTTATTTTCAAATTGCTGCTCAACAATACCTGCACATGGGAAAAATAAGCAGTACATATATGTCAGTCTGACCCAAAAAATGAGAAACATTTTACTGAAACTGGAACACAGTATTATTTTTTACTTTGCCTTTAAAACAGGACCAGGTGATTTTAAGTGTTTCTGTTGTTGAACAGAAAAATAGCACATAAATGAAGCAAGGCAGAATGTGACAAACAAAATCATCGCTGCATGCATCATTCACATACTTGCCAACTCGCCCTATTTTGGAAGGAGAGTCCTGATTTTCGACCCTAAAATTGAGCAGTTCAACCAGTGCACTACAGTTGTGTATTTATCTTTTTATAAGTTCTGATGTTTTCATCTAAAAGAACAGCTCAAAGCTCAAATGACGCCATTTACAAGTGTTATTTTACCCTTGTGTGTACATATACATTATTTTGTACTTTTAATTCTGAGCATGCGCAATCCCCCCCTTCCCCCNCCCTTACGGAATTTTCGAAAGTTGGCAAGTATGCATTCAATGTGCATTCTATGAGGAGTTATTGTGTTCGTTCTGTTCATATAACTAGTCTCTACCTCACTGACTTTGTATCCCACAGCCCCAAAATGATATAAGATTGGACTCTAACCACACACAAAATTTCAGTCTTCAAAATTATTCAAACCGAAAATATGTATATGCTTAGATTCCAAGTAATTAGCATCACATAACTTTACAGACTCTGTCACTTCAGGTATCAAGACTGCAATTTTGACTGAAAAAACCTCAATGCACTTGTAAGTCAATGAAGTCACAATACTGTGTGTAAACCACCAAATACTTGCCAGGTTAAACTGCTGTTGTCAATAGCAACAAGGGAATAACATTAGTAAACAAGGTATTAATCATCAACCTTCCGGTGTGAAAAGTCAAATTTACACCAGGTAAAGATCTAATTAACACCAGGTAAAGATCTAATTTACACCAGGTAAAGATCTAATTTACAACAGGTAAAGATCTAATTAACACCAGGTAAAGATCTAATTTACACCAGGTAAAGATCTTATTTACACCAGGTAAAGATCTAATTAACACCAGGTAAAGATCTAATTTACAACAGGTAAAGATCAAATTAACACCAGGTAAAGATCTAATTTACAACAGGTAAAGATCTAATTAACACCAGGTAAAGATCAAATTTACACCAGGTAAAGATCTAATTTACAAATGAAAGGCATTATTTTCACTTGAAATCATTTCCTGCCTTAGAGCACATTCAACGACATTTGTATTCACACTTCATTGACGTTGACATGGGCACAACATTTTCTGGGGCCCATTTTCTACACAAAATTGTCTGGTGCCCATTTTCTACACAAAATTTCCTCGCAAATATCTTGGCCTCATTATGGTTGTCCTATTAAAAGCTATGGTCATTTAAGAATGTGACAGGTTCTGGTGGTGGGGGCAAGCCGGAGAAAAGCCACCAACCAGCAGCTAGTTCCTGGCGACTGCCAGGGCTCAAACCTGCGACTCAGTGGTTGAAGGCTAGTGATCTTAGATGGTCAGTTGCCTTAACTATTCGGCCAGCACGAACCCCAGCCTCATGGAATATATTTGTATATGGGTCAAAGGAAACAAATGTAAAACAAATGGTATTACAACCAGATGCAACATAAGATTTTCTTCAACACAAACAACAACAGAAGTATATTTGAATTGAAGAGAAACTCTTTATATTTACCTGTATTTTGTCATTTTCTGGAAATTTGTGACACTTGAAGGCGTTTTCTAGGACCGGGTTGGGCGGAGGTTTTCTTGGTAGTGTGTTTCTTATTCCAAAGTATCTACCAATGGGAGCTGCTATATGCCTAAAACAGAAAAATCATTTATTTATTAACTTGATTGCATTCTGTGTTTTACGATTCATGCAACAACTATTTTAGTAGTAAAATGTTTAATAGACCTTTTACAAGTAAACACTGACCCCGATGCCCATTGTAACATGTTTGTCTGATAATGAAGTACCAGTGCTATTAACACAGGACCTCCCATCTCATCAGAATGTTAAGGGGGGTTCAGCAAATTACTTATTCAGGATCTTACCTGCATTTCCATTTTATCAGTCCAAGAATATTTTGACAGGGTTTATATATCTCATATGAAATGGAAATAAAAATAAAACTATTTTGTATCATATTATCAAAAACTTGCAAATACATTGTGTTGCATGAAAATGCCTGTTTTTAAGGTCTACAATTCTGCCATCTTGGGTCATTAACATACACTCTTGAAGTCTGGGTTTTTCTTTGTTCATTGTCATTTTAGAATTTCACACAAGGTCATATTGTATGGGTTCACATGTTATGCCTGTAATCATTAATAACATGGTAATCAGGTGCTAAATATAATTAAGATAGAATTGGAATAACTTTGAGATTCTTCTGATTTTAAGATTTTTTGCCTTTCATTGCGAAATAGCAACATCATTTCAGTGTCAATTGTGACATGTTAAATCATCGTTACACTGAATAAGTCACCAACGTCATCAGATAAAAAATCATAATTTCTAACTTTGAGGAAATTGCTTTCTTCATTTGCGTATAAAATCACGGTGAATACGTAAACCATGCAATTATCAGTAAAAACATCCACAAAAGGGTAAGAGTCATGCACAAAATGAAACAAATTTAAACAAGCCAAATAATAGAAAATAGTTTAAGTGCATTATATAATATTCCATATAATAATCATGATCATACATTTATCAAAATTATTGGTTGCATTTTTTTTAATCTCCATTAAGTTTAAAGTAGTGTGTCTAGATTATAATATATACAGGGTGATTTCATGTGGAAGTTATATTTTGCAGTCAAGTGCCTCAAAACAACGAACATATACAATCTAAACAATCTAAACAAGTAAGACTGCAGACCTAAGTTACCATCTTGAAACCAAACTTTTTACACAGTACAAATGTATCCAAATCAAACTGTGTTAAATCAAACTGGTATACATAAACCACTCCAACATATGTTTATAATATATGTATGTATAGGAAGGCATCCAACATGTTCACAGACATTCTAATAGGTTTTTAGTACATTCCAGTGAATTATCCATGCATCAATATTATCAGCAGATTCCCAGCTGTAGCACCATCACACATACAATGTATGTGGACATTCAATCACGCTATTACACAGATCAGCAGATGTTCATGTACAGATAGGTAGGGTGAATAGGTACAAAGAGCTATACACATGGTAGCTACAGGCCCTTTTTATAAAATAGTTTAGAGCCAAAATTCTGCAATGAAAACATCTCAGATCACTTCAAACTGCATCTGTAACATTCCCCAAATTCCTGAGCTGAATCTCTGCTGTTTTTTTGAAGCTTTATGTTTCAGGTGTTCTGTACAGGCAATTCTAAGAAAGGCCCATACTTCTTTAATATAACTTGTATAATATCACTCTATCTTTGACAGGTTCTTCTTCCTATCTAAAGGTATTTTACCTTATATTTCATACCAGTATCTGATTTAAGATCTATTTCCCTTGCACTTTATATCAGTAACTCTTGTTGAGAGTTACCATGACTAGCTATGCCTTGTACCAGTGATTTATGTTGGAGTTATCTCCCTTACACATTATACCAGTGATTTGTGTTGGAGTTATCTCCCTTACACATTATACCAGTGATTTGTGTTGGAGTTATTTCCCTTACACATTATACCAGTGATTTGTGTTGGAGTTATCTCCCTTACACATTATACCAGTGATTTGTGTTGGAGTTATCTCCCTTACACATTATACCAGTGATTTGTGTTGGAGTTATCTCCCTAACACATTATACCAGTGATTCATCTTGCTCTCTTACACATTATACCAGTGATTTATGTTGGAGTTATCTCCCTTACACATTCTACCAGTGATTTGTGTTGGAGTTATCTCCTTAACACATTATACCAGTGATTTGTGTTGGAATATATCACTTACACATTATACCAGTGATTTATGTTGGAGTTATCTCCCTTACACATTAAACCAGTGATTTGTGTTGGAGTTATCTCCCTTATACATTATACCGGTGATTTGTGTTGGAATATCTCCCTTACACATATACCAGTGATTTATCTTGGAGTTATCTCCCTTACACGTTATACCAATGATTTGTGTTGGAGTTTTCTCCCCTACACATTATACCAGTGACTGGGGTTGGAGTTATCTCCCTTACACAAGTATCTCCCTTACATTCCTAGCCTTAATTATGCTGAAATCTGTAAGCATTATTAGAGAACAAAAGAAAAAGTTAATTTGTATGCTATTAGATTTAAAATTCCTTGCCTCAACTTTTCTGAAACATGTATACATTACTAGAGTTCAAAACATTGAGCCTTTAAATAATATTATCATTCTGAACTCTATACACAATACTAGAATTCAAAACTCTTAGCCTGAATTATTCTGAAATCTGTACGTACCGACACAATTTACCGGATGTTGTGTAGGCTGATCAGGGAGTGGGTGCATACATGATACCCAAACATTTAGATTTGTCACACGGTTCAATAGGGATACAGATGTAAACATACAGAACCATTGTACTGTAAGGATAGTCCATTATACCTGTTTACACACCCACATAAACACAACTTTATCTTACACAAACCTAGTGGACATAATCTTTAACCCATTTTTTTCAGTAAACACACACATTGGCCCTTCAGGCCAGGTGAGCTTAAAAAATTGCTGAACAGATTTGTTTCAAGTGTTTATAAAGTATTTTTAATCTTCAACATTTCCAAGAAAAGCTGCCCGAAAATAACAAATAACGAGTCGTCTCTGTCACCAGGAGTCAAACCAACACATACCAGCACACTGGCTTGAAGGCTGTCAAGGGCTGTGGACCTCACTGCTGACTGCAGCTAGTCTTGATTATCTTAATAAAACAAATCTTCACACACATAGATGTATAGCAGTAATTCTAAAGAACCACATAGTCCTTGTACAATTAAGGAAATACTTAAACTGTCGTGAATATGGCAAACTGAAGTATTCTGTTACTTCAATGACTACAGCGATCAAACTCAGGACCAATATATACACTACCAGTCCTACGTTATTCAGGAGTTAGGAATGAACACCATCAAAATGAGACATGAACACCTTGACAAGGGAACTAACTCTAGGCCGGAAAATCTCCTTTTGTTGCTTCATCTTCTATATGTCAGAGAGGATACCTAAAAGAAATACAACTCTGAAGTGGAACTAACACATGTGATCAACCTGATGTGGTGGTAGATGTTACCTTAAAATCTCGATATTGTACGGGTATAATGTTTCCTCTGATAAAATATCATTTATTCTGAATCACATATAAATATAAAATCAAAATTGCTGGCACCTTTAAATCCAACTACAATGCGGTTAAAAAGACATGCGATATTGAGATGACCTCATTCAAATTGAAGTCATTGGCCTATCGTCCTATTATCTCAGGCATAGATCATAGTCTTTGAAACAGGCCAGTGTAACAATGTGCGGTGTGTTGTCTGAATTCACCGAGGCTAGAATCATTTAATGACGAAGGTTTAAACAGATCCTATTCGTAAACACTGGCCATCACACTTGACCGATTATTCGTAATCTGCTTTCAGAGTTTATTTTAAGCCTGATCAACGAGATTGGCTCAAAACACAATATTTATAACTAGCTTTTGCCTGTCACTGAGTTTATATAGGTTATCTAATTATAAATATTTTTGCACCATGTTTACATATAACATAACACTGAAGCTCTAAAGTACTTCAGTACAAAGGTAAATAGCTAGCAATGAACAACACTTTTACATCAGATAATATAACTGATTAATTCTCTTTAAATGTTTAATTCATTCACCCCTGAAGACACATTTGACCTACTCCAATTCAAAGTTTGGAAAAGTTCATTATGAACTTTCAGGGTTGAATGAGTATGTCAGAAAAATAGTTTTCAATTAAAATTTGAGGGATTTTTAGGTCTGAAATATTTATCCTTTGCCAAACAGACTTAATATGGAAACTGTATTGCAATTGTCAAACCATGGTAATTAAACCAATTTTCAAGTAGACTAGGTGTGTCAGCACTGCCACTAACACATGCCGATGATCATATAAGTGTTTGTAATAGGACTATCACATGAGGACTTATCTTGTGTTGATCAGAAAACTCAGTCAATGACTGACCTCTGTACTCATCAGTGGACAAACAAAACGTTGAGGGGTCAAGGTCCTCGATCCTGACAAGAACAATTAATGACAACAACAACAATGTAACTAGACGACCAGGCCTAATACAATTACCTAGGACCTAGCTGTTCAAAGTCTGGTATGCTAAACAAAATATCACTGCGACCAGCGACCAGCGGCCTAATACAATTACCTAGGACCTAGCTGTTCAAAGCCTGGTGTGCTAAACAAAATATCACTGCATGTACAATATGTACAATAGTTTTTTTTCAAAATATTGAAGGTTCAGTTGTTCAGTAAAAATGTTTGAAATTTTCTTTCAATACACCACCCTACAACAAAAATCTGCTTATATCTTTCCCCCTTTAATTAAGTTCACAAAATTATTGTCAAAATTAAAATCTTGGGTGGGGTCAAATAATTGCATAATGTTAATACCCAGTGCATGGAACTTTATTTTGTTTAGATTATGTAATTCTGTAATGCTTTATGTTGAAAAGAAATGAGAGGGTTCCACTTGAAGAGATCACACAAAGTACAACAAACATTTGTACATACTTATCACACAGGTGAATTACCAAAATCAAGGTGAAGTTCAAGTTTAAATACCTCTGTGAATGTTTGTTTTGAGGTTAAAAAAGA